GTATATGTGTGTGTTAAGTCCATCTGGTCTAATGTGTTGTTCAAAGCCACTCTTTCTTTATTGATTTTCTGCCTGGATGAAATGCCCATTGATGTAAGTGGGGGTGTTAAAGTCCTCTGTCATTACTGTATTACTGTCAGTTTCTCTATGTTCATTAATGTTCACTTTCTGTATTTAGGTGCTTCTATGTTGGATGCATGGATATTTGCAATTGTTCTATCCTCTTTTTGGATTGATCCCTTTATCAATACATAATGGCCTTCTATGAGTCTTGTTACAGTCTTTATATTAAGGTCTATTTTGTTTGATACAAGTATTGCTACCCTGGATGTATTTCCCCCCACTTCCATTTCCATGGAATATTTTTTCTATAGTTTTACTTTCAGTCTATATGTGTTTTTAGGTCTGAGGTGAGTCTTTTGTAGACAGCATTTTTTTTTTTATTTATTTCTGCCACCTTATATCTTTTGATTATAGCATTTAGGCCATTTAAATTTAAAGTAATTATTGATAGGAATGTACTTATTGCCATTTTTTTTTCTTGTTGTTTTTGTAGTTCTTCTCTTGTGTTTTTTTGTTTTGGTTTTTTTTTTTTTTTTTTTGAGATTGATGAGTTTCTGTAGCATTATATTTGGCTTTCTTTTTCCTTTTTGGTGTCTATTACAGGTTTTGTGCTACCGTGAGGTTCATATATCACATCCTAAGTATATGGCACTCTAAGTTGATAGTCATTTAAATTCAAACACATCCAGAAAAAAAAAAAAAAAAACTCTTATTTCACCCTTTCCTTCATGTTTTATGTATGTGCTGTCATATTTTCTTTTTATTCATAATTTTCTGTCATCTAATTATGACCACTTCTTTTCCACTTAAAGAAGTTCCATTAACAGTTCTTGTAAGTCTAGTTCAGTGGTAAAAAATCATTTTGGGGGGAATTTCAATTCTGAATGATACCCTTGCCAGGTAGAGTATTCCTGGTTGTAGGTTTTTTCCATCAGTACTTTGACTATATCATGCCACTTTCTTTTGACCTACAAAGTTTCTGCTGAAAACTCGGCTGATAGCCTTATAGGGGTTTTTCTTGTAGGTAACTTTTTGCCTCTCTCTTGCTACCTTTAAAAGTCTCTCTTTATATATTTATTTTTTAAGTAGGCTCTATGTCTAATGTGGGGTTTGAACTCACAACCCTAAGATCAAGAGTAGTATGCTGTACTGACTGAGCCAGCCAGGTGCATCCAAAGTCTTGCTTTATCTTTAACCTTCGGCATTTTAATTATTATGTGTCTTGGTTTGGACCTCCTTGGGTTCATCTTGCTTAGAACTCTGTGCTTCTTGAAACTAGGTATCTATTTCCTTCCTATGGTAGGGAAATTTTCACCCATTACTTCTTCAAATACATATTTTCCTTTCTCTCTTGCTGCTGCTTCTAGGTTTCCTGTAATGGGAATGTTTTTTCACTTACTGCTAAGAGCTCTCTTAATCAACCTTCATTTGTTTATTATTTTCTCCTTCTGTCATTCAGCTTGTGTGCTTTTCATTAGCCTGTTTTTCCATATTGCTGATATATTCTGCATCCTCTAATCTACTGTTGATTCTCTCTAAAGTATTTTTTATTTCAGTTACTGTATTATTCAGCTCTGATTGGTTCTTTTTTACATTTTTTATTTATTGAAAGTCTCGCTGTGAAGTTCACTCTTCTCCAGCCTAGTGAGCAGCTTTATGATCATTAAATTCTTTATCAGGCATATTGTTTATCTCCATTTCATTTAGCTCCTTTCTCTGAGGTTTTGTCTTGTTCTTTCTTTTGGAGCATATTTCTGTCTCTGCATTTTGCCTGACTCCCCATGTTTGTTTCTATGAATTAAGCAGAATAACAACTTCTGAATTTGAAGGAAGGCTTGGTGCACTTGGCGACTTTCACTGGCTGGAGATGTGGCTGGCATGGGTTGGGTGTCTCAGGACTCTCCACATAGTAGGCATTGTGGCAGGATAGCTGAAGTGGGTACAGGTCAGTGTGGTCCCTGGGCCTTCCTGCAGCAGGTGCCCTGGCAGGATAGTTAAAGCTAGAGTGGGTGCATGCTGGGGTGTCCTGAGGTTCTACACCTAGAGGGAACCTTGGCAGTGTAGCTGATGCTGACGTGGGTATTATTCAGGGTATCCTGGAGCTCTCCACACAGAGGGCACCCTGGCAGGACAGGTGAAGCTGAAGTGGGTGTATGCCAGGGGATTCCAGGGCTCTCTGTGGAGTGGGCGCCCTATCCCGTGTGTTGCAAACTTCCAGGTTCTATACACTGAGGGCACTCTGGAAGGATGGCTGAGGTGAAGGGAAGCTGAGATTTCTGGGGTACTATTTGCAGGGGGTGCCCCAGTGGAGTGGCTGGAGCTGAAGCAGTGTGTAGACCAGGAGACCCTTGAGTTCTTTGTACAGAAGGTGTCCTGGTAGGATATCTGAAGTGGGTGCAAACAGGTATGTTCTAGGACTCTCTGTAGAGATAGTGCCTTGGAGGGGCGTCAGCTGGAGCTGAGGCAGGGTACATGCCTGCCAGGGAGGGGTTCTGGAGTCCTCTGCACAGGGGTTGCCATATGGCACATTTTGTTTATCCATTCATCTGCTGGTGAACATTTAGGTTGTTCCTATCTTTTGGCTACTGTGAATAATGCTGTGATGAATGTTGATGTACCAGTATGTGTTTGGGTCCTTGCTTTAAATTCTTTTTGGTATATACTCAGGAGACTTTCTGGGTCATATGGTAATCCTATGTTTAGTTTCTGAGGAGGCACAAAAACTGTTTTTGACAGTGGCTGTACCCACCAGCATTGCATTTACATTACACCAGCATATACGTTCCCACCAGCAATGTGTGAAGGATGCAGTTTCCCCATATTGCTGATATTTGTTATTGTCCATTTTTAAAAAGAATATAGCTACCTTACCAGGTGGGAAGTGGTACAGACTTCTATGTTCAAAGAATCACTTGGGAAACAACACAGAGGATGGGCTGAAGTGGGGAAACCCAGGAGGCAGAGAAAATAGCTGAGAAGTTTTGCCAGGGATTGTTTTCTGAGCATTGGTCTAAGAGAGTAAGGTCCTGGACAGCAGGGGATGGAAAGGGAAGGGCATGTTATGAGAAGTTTAAAAGAGAATTCATGATTGTTGGTTAAGGAGAGCAGGCATACAGGAAGTGTCCAAATTTTCTGACTTGGTTACCTATGTGGAGGATGTTATATGCTGAGATCAAGGGATAGAGGGTGAATTCAGTTTCGGACACAATAAGGACATGGTGATTCTCAGTTCTTCAACCGGGTAGTTGGATATGAGGAACTGGTACTTAGGGGTGACACCTGGTCTAGAGATAGAGATTCACACATTTCTAATGTTCAGGAAGCCATTGCAGTGATTGGCATGGATGCGGTCACTGGGGGAAGTGTAGAGAGTGGGAAGATTTGGGGACTGAGGATATAGTCTGGGGGGACTCACGCCTAAACACTGTAAAAGGAAGAAGGAAATCCTACCCCAAATGTGAGAAGACGTGGCCCTGAAGTAGGGTAGTGTCTCAGAAACCAAAGGAAGAAGGTTTTAAAAAGAGGAAGGCATGAAAAGGAGCAAATCTGGAGAAAGTTTTGATTGCATTTGCACTTACCTAGGTTGATGCTGCAAACAAGGAATGAATTGTTTGGCTAATATATGATTGTGCCTTTTCTCTGTTCTACCAGGGACCATTAAATAATAGTATGTTTGGATTTCATAAGTATAGTAGGTTTGGATTTCACCATTTCTTTTGAGTTTTTTTTTTTTTCCCTTGGTAGTTCAGTTGACACTGTTAAGATTTGTGTGTGCAACACACAAATTCCACAAAGGACTCAGTGCTCACTATGATATATGTACTTACCATCTATCAGGATATAATGTTATTACAATATTCTTGACTATACTCCCTACGCTATACTTTTCATTCCTGTGACTTTTTTAAGATTCTATTTATTTATTTGACTGACAGAGATCACAAGTAGGCAGAGAGGCAGGCAGAGAGAGAAGAGGAAGCAGTCTCTCCGCCAAGCAGGGAGAGCCCCTATGTGGGTCTCGATCCCAGGACGCTGGGATCATGACCTGAGCCGAAGGCAGAGGCTTTAACCCACGGAGCCACCCAGGCACCCCTCCTGTGACTTACTTATAACTGGAATTTTGTACCTCTTAATTCCCTCCACCTATTTTGCCCATCCCCTCATCTACCTCCCCTCTGGCAATCACCAGTTTGGTCTCTGTATTTAAGAGTCTATTTTTGTTTGTTCTGATACATTTGGTAATATATTTTTTAAAATATGCATTTTTAAAAACTATTCAGCCTGCATCATTTTTTAATGTGGAACGTATTCTGTCACCATCAGTATATTCTGCTATAGTAGTGATCTGGTGGTAACTACACGTCTTACATACACATACACACATGTGTGTATATATACATATATAGCCCCACACGCATATAGACATTTGGCATATTCTGCTAGAGAATATACTACTGTGACTATTAATATTATTGCCAAGTGACCGGAGTTTCCAGTTTTCAATGATATTTTTAATTAAAAAATAAATTTTAACAAAATAAATTCCTTTTCGTTCATTTTTAGGCTATTTTAATATCATCACTACAAAATTTTTGGTGGAGCCAATTGTCTAAAAATTATTCTATTTAATATTATTCATATGAATATTATATTTCTCGGGACTCACATGAGATAATTTTTGTTCATTGCAAGTTAACAGTTTTCTTTGCCCTGATGGGGAAGAGGGGCCTGTGAGCCTCAGGAGAACCACCCCCACCACTTGTGTCAACAGTAATAATCATTTCCAGTCATTAGGAGCTCAGGGTAGCATTTCTAACTAAAGACTTAATAGGACTTAGGATGTAGGATGATGGTACTTAATCTCACCTTTATTCTCTTTCAAGAATGACATAAAAGCTGTTTCATGTAGTTTGACACTTTATCCTGCTTTTTTGTAGACTGGAAGATGGTGAACGAGTAAAAACAAAGTCCTTCAGGTACACTGAACCGTTGAGATTGGTAGATGGTGGGTGGAAAATGTTGCAGATACAAACCTTTAGCCAAAGTAAAAAGTGACACCAAGATAGAATTGATTCACGAATATTAGGTCTCATTCCATATGCTCTGAGAAGTGGTAAATGTCAAGTACCTGTTACCTTTTCTATCTACTGGAATAACATTTGCCTTCATGTGCCTTTAAATTTTTCTTAGAGGGACTGTTTATTCTTTAAGCACTAGAGCAAAGCTGATCCATGCTGTAAAGAAATCCCAGTTACTTCTGAGGACCATCTGATTGTTAGTCTTTCTCAATTGTTTCAATATATTCCAGCATCAACAAAAATTATTCTAAATCTGGCAACATGGCCAAATCTCAGTTTTGCTTTTTCTTCATTTATTCTGATTTTGTATCTAATTTACAAAACACTGACAGGGATCAAAGTGGCAATAAGAGTATGCAGAATTAAGAGCCAGACCCCTGCCACTAAATTATCAGACAACCAGCCTCTGGTAAATAGGTCTTTCCCTAATACAGTCTTCCAGAAATCTTTTAGGTGCATCTCCCGCAAAAACTAGCTATTTTGCCTTCTTCTGGGTTTCCTAGCTCCTGCCATCGTCATTCATTGTTCTCCACAGGGCCTTGCTCCCACATGTTCTCACCTTTCTCTAACCTCTGCCTCAGAGACAGAAGACCCCATCTGCTGTACATTCCTGGAGCAGGCATCTCTGCCCATTGTTGGTGTCTGTCCTATTGGGTAATACTGGTAGAAATGAGAGGTGATAATTCTAGTAGGAGGATAACTCTAACATTCTTCTAAACATAAAATTTTAATCTAAAAATTGTTCCTGAATGGACCAAAGCATGAGTATATAACTAAATTTTATGTGAACATACATATAATTTGAATTCTATCCAGTTCACTCAAAAGTACTTATTTTGTTCCAGGAGTAGCGTGACCCAAGGGTGACTGGTTGGGTGGGAAGGGGAATATTATCTCCATTGGTTTTCATTAGTGTTCTCCCCTCCCCCACTCTTTTATGTGGAAAAATTAGATTTTCTTTCGTCTAATTTAAACTTCCCATAAAGACAGGTCAGAACAAGTCTCCTCCTTCTTTCCCATCAGATTGTACTTTTTAAACTCTTCTTATGTGGAAATTCCGGAAGCGCCACAATCTGACTGTTGTAGGAGAAACAGACAGATGTTTACAGTTAAGTGAGAAGAGTAGAAGAGCCTAACTCAAATGTAAAATGTAAATGTAAGATATACAATTTTCCCCTACATTTTACCATCCACAAAAAAGGTCTGATCAATGACCTCTTCCTGTTAATGGGCAACGTTTTTCTTTCCTTGTGACGTATTAAATAATACTGAATTTCCAGCAGATGGTGACTTAGGTCTGGTGACATGGTAGAAGGATAGAAGACATAGAGGCAGGTGAGAGAGGAAAGGGATTCATCATGTAGTAGTCACAGACAGTTTCCCAGAAGAATAACTGAGGTGGGTTTTGAAGAAGGAGGAGGATTTTTCCAACATAGAAGGGAAGGACATTATAAGCTTAGCAAAGAGCGAGTCAGAGGAGATGTGAGGTGACTTGGCATATGTGAGGACTAGCAAGTTGTTTGGCATTGCTGTGGAGTAACACATGGAGATGTAGGGAATGCACAGAGACATGGACCTGGAAATGGCACAAACCAAGTCATGGAGAACCTTGGGATGTCATGAGGGAGTTTGGCCCTTCCTCTTAGGCAGTGGAAATATATTTTAGCAGTTTGATGCAATGGAATTAGATGACTTCATTTGTTTTAGAGTGATAATTCTGGAAGTCAAGGTTTGTGTAGACTGAAAGGAGAAGACACTGGAAGTATAGCAGGTTAAAAGGCTTTTGGGGGTAGTGCAATGAGCTGTCACCTCATGATTCAAGGTGGTGACACAGTGGATGGGGAGGAAGAGAAGACCTATATAAGAACCATTTTAAGAACTAGAACCTATCGGAGTTTGTGATTATTTGGCTCTTCAGAGTGAAGAAGGAAGAAGGGTCTAGAATGAGCCTAGTGATATCAACAACCAAGATAAATTCTACAGGAATAAGTCAAGGGTAATGGAGGAAGGAGATATAAAATGGGGGTAAATTGTAAAGAACATATTCCGTATGGGCTTACCTGAGGTTTATGGCACTTGTGAATCATTTAAGTGTGTAGTTCAAGTTCTGAAGGTCAGGAATGAGGTGAAGTATGAACGAGTTAGAGATTTAATAGTAGCTTAGGAGCCACTGTAAAGCCTCTGAGAGAAGGAGCTATCTCAGGGTGAAGTTGTAAGGTGAGGAAAGAGTAGAGTCAACTGGGGAATCTTGGGGCACTGCTTTTAAGGAAAGAGGAAGAGCTGGTAAAGAGACAAGGGGACTGAGCGGAGCAGGGAGGGCAGCGGAGCAAGGGAGGGTCACGGGAGCCAGCGGAAGAATAAGGAATGTACGAATAAGGAATGTTATACTGTCAAATTCAAGGCAGAGATCAGCAAGGCCTTGCATAATATAAGGATGACCTCTGCTAGAAGTAGTGTCTGTGGGGCAGGGTTGCAGAAGGTTGATTTTAATAGATGGGTGGAAAGGTGCCTGCTTGAGAAGAGAAAAGAGAGGAGATGGTGTTCATCCAGGAAGCTGGCTGAGAAGGGAAGACAGTAGCAACGTTAAAATCCCTCAGAATGGGGAAAGGTGGAGTTTTTTCCCCAAAGAGAGAGATTTGCACACATTTGCAACGCCTTGGAAAGCTGCTGTAGAAGAGAATGAAGTTAAGATGCTAAAGCAAATACCAGAGAGCAGGGATCTGTAGTGAAAGGAAGAGCTGGGTAGCCTTCTAAGACTGAGGGAATTTCTAAAACTACTCATGCGGCCCTCAGACACATCTTAGTTCTTAAAGGTTTCTGGAAATAAGAGAGAATAAGAGGAAGGAGCAGGGGTAGTTGGTGGGATGAGAGATGAGTGCCATTTTGGTCTTCAGCAGCTCCCTCTTCTTCCCTGAACAAGGAGTGCAGGGCCAGAGTTGGGAGCAAGGAGGGTGTGCTGGCTGGCCTCCTCAGGCTCCAGCCAGCGCCTCCGTGGTAACCATGGGTCTGCTCATTGTTAAAAATAAAGGAGGTTCTTTTCCTTCTTAGAGAAGCTCATAGCCAAACCGAAAAGCGGAGGAGAGATAAAATGAATAATCTGATTGAAGAACTGTCAGCAATGATCCCTCAGTGCAATCCCATGGCACGGAAACTGGACAAGCTCACAGTGTTAAGAATGGCTGTCCAACACTTGAAATCTTTAAAAGGTGAGTTTGGAAATGGCTTCTGCACTTGGATTTGTTGTTGTTGTTTTTAAAGATTTTTTTTTAAGATTTTATGAAATCATAAAATGTTAAAGATTTTATAAAAATGTATTTATTTGAGAGAGAGTGACATGGTGATAGTGAGCAGGAGGAGGGAAGAGAGGGAGAAGCAGGCTCCCCACTGAGCAGGGAGCCTAATCCCAGGACCTTGGGATCATGACATGAGCTGAAGGCAGACACTGAACTGACTGAGCCACACAGGTGCCCCCGCACTTGGATTTGTGAAGTCCACCCTGTAATTGAGATCCCGGATTTGTTTTTGTGGTTGTGGCTCCTGAAACTCTATACAGGTGTGTCTTCCACTTTATAGGCATCAGTTTGCTTACAGGCATCAATTCTGATGCCTGCTCATATTCTGTATGTGGAGAGAATACTAATCTGGGTATTGAAAATCTTGGTTTCACTAAAAGCTTTATTTTAAATGCACACCCTGTGTCTTTCCATTTGTGTCATCTTCAATGTCTTTCATTGTCTAAGACATCTTCAATGTCTTAAGAGTTTTCAGAGTACAATCCTTCCACAGCCTCGGTAAAATTTATTCCTAGGTGCTCTATTCTTTTTGATGCAATGGTAAATAGAATTGTTCTCTTAGTTACCTGCTAGTTTGTTAATAATGTGTAGAAATGCAATGGATTTCTGTATGTTGATTTTGTATTCTGTAACTTTACTGAATTCATTTATTGTAGTTTTTTGGTGGAGACTTTAGGATTTTCTGTATGTAGTATCTTGTCATCTGCATATAGTGACAGTTCTACTCCTTCCTTACCAATCTGGATGTCTCTTATTTCTTTTTCTTATCTGATTCCTATGGCTAGGACTTCTAGTACTATGTTGAATAAAAGTAGTGAGAGTGGACACCCTTGTCTTGTTCCTGATCTTAGAGGAAAACCTTTCAGCTTTTCACCACTAAGGATTAAGTTAGCTCTGGGTTTGTCACTTATAGCATTTATACTATTTTGTTCCCTCTGTACCCACTTTGTTGAGTTTTTCTGAATGTCGAATTTGTCAACTGCTTTTCCTGCATCTGTTGAGGTGATCATATAATTTTTATCTTTCATTTTATAATGTGTGTTGTGTCGATTGATTTGCAGATACTGAACCATTCTTGCATCTCTGGAACAAATCCCACTTGATCATGGAGAATGATCCTTTTAATGTATTGTTAAATTTGGTATGGAAATATTTTGTTGAGGATTTTTGTGTTCATCAGGGATATTAGTCTGTAATTTTATTTTGTAGTGTCTGTTTTTGGTATCGGAGTAATGCTGGCATCATAGAATGAATTTGGCAGTTTTCCTTTCTCTTCTATATTTTGGAATGATTTGAGAAGGGGAGGTATTAACTCTTCTTTAAATGTTTGGTAAATTTCACCTGTGAAGCCTTCTGGCCCTAGACTTTTGGTTATTGAGAGTTCTTTGATTACTGGTGCAGCTTCATTGCTGGTAACCAGGTTGTTCAGATTCTTTCTTCGTGATTTAGTTTTGGGAGATTGTAGATTTCTAGAAATTTACCCATTTCTTCTAGTTTGTCTAATTTTTTTGCATAATTTTTATAGTAGTCTTTTTTTAATTCTTTGCATTTTTATAGTGTCAGTTGTAACTTCTCTTGCATTTCTGATTTTGATCCTTTGTCTTGATGAATCTGGCTAAAGTTTTAACAGTTTTATGTCTCAGTTTCATTTATTTCCACTCTGATCTTTGTTGTTTTCTGCCTTTTACTGACTGGATTTTGTTTGTTCTTTTTCTAGCTCCTTTTAGGTATAAAGTTAGGTTGTTTGAGATTTTTCTTCTTTCTTGAGGTGAGTCTATATCACTATAAATTTTCCTGTCAGAATTGCTTTTGCTGCATCCAAGAGATTTTGAACCATTGTCTCTAATTTCATTTGTCTTCATGTATTTTTTCCTTTCTTCTACGACTTCTTTGCTGATCCATTGGTTGTTTAGTAGCATGGTGTTTTTTTGGCCTCCACGCATTTGGGGTTTGGGGTTTTTTTTGGGGGGGGGGAGAATTGATTTCATTTCACTGTTGTAGTCAGAAAAGATGTTTGATTTCAGTTGTCTTTCTTTTAAATTTCTGTCTTCTTGTGATCTGTTCTGAGTAATGTTTCCTGTGCACTTGAATGTATATTGTTTTTGGATGGGATGTTTTGTGTATGTAGATCTGTTAAGCCCATCTTTTGTAACTGGTCATTCGAAGCCACTGTTTCCTTCTTTTCTTCTAGGCAATCTATCCATTGACCTAATAGGGTGTTAATGTCCCCTACTATTATTGTATCACTGTTAACTTCTCCCTTGATGTCTGTTAATGCTTGCCTTACATATTTAGGTACTCCAGTGTTTGATGCATATTTACAATTGTGATCTCCTCTTGTGAATAAATCCCTTTACTATTATTATGTAATGGACTTCTTTGTCTCTTGTTACAGTGTTTTGGAGTCTATTTTGTTGATATAATTGTTGCCACCCCATCTTTGGTTTTGCTTTCATTTGCATGGAATATCTTTTTCCAGTCCTTCATTTTCAGCCTGTGTCTTTAGTGCTGAAGTGAGTCTCTTGGGGGCAGCATGTGGTTGGGTCTCATTTTGTTATCCATTGTTATCCAAAAATCACCCTGTGATTTTTGATTAAATGTGATGCTCCAAAATAATTATTGATAGGTGCATATGGTCATTTTTAAAATCGTTTCCTGGTTATTTTTGTAGTTCTTCTCCATTCCCTTCTTCTTTTGATCCCTTCCCTTGTGATTTGAGGACTTTCTTTAGTGTTATGCACGGATTTCTTTTTTTTTTTTTTTTCCTGTATGTATTATAGGCTTTTGGTTGTACTAACCATGAATTTCATATATAACATCCTAAGTATGTAGCAACATATACCAAGTTGATGGTCTCTTCAACCACATTCTAAAAGCACTACATTTGTATTCCCCCTTTCCCCATTTTATACACATGTGGTCACATTTTATAGCTTCTTACTTTGTGTATTCCTTGACTAATTTTTGCAGATACCATTTTACGACTTTTGTCTTTTAACGATCAAACTAGCTTTATAAGTGGTTCATCCACCACCTTTACTCAGTTTTTACCACTGAAATTTTTTTCTTGCATAATTTTCTTGTCTTGGCCTTTTCTTCTCGGCTTAAGAAGTCCCTTTCACAAAAAATAGATACTTTAAATCACCTTCCTTAGATTTCCACATGCAGAATGGTGGCTGCTGTACTCCAGCTGGCTGACTATGTGCAAATCTGGAGGGCAGGCAGCTAGGAAAAGAAAGCACAGCCTTGATCGCTCTGATGCCAAGCAGAACAGCGCAAGTGTGAGGAATACTGCTTGGCAGGATCCTTTCAGGACTGTGACAGGAGGTCTCATTTTCATAACCATCCATTGTGAAACAGGATTCCCTTTTACCCACAACTGGATCTTGCATAAGTTGTATGCAATATTTCCCTTAAATCTTTTAGCAGTGAACATTTGCAGGCCCCACTGAGGTCATTTGATTGCAACTCTAAAATTACCCAACCATTTTCACATTCGCAATGCCTGGAGGGAGGAGAACCTAAGGGGGAAAGTCATGAATCCATCAACTAATTCAACAAACAGGCACCGAGCATCATGTAGGTTCCCGTCTGTGCTGGGAACTTGAAAAGAAAGGAACAAGATCTCTGAGCTCTTGGGGTTCATGGCAGGCGAAGGAGACAGACCCAGGCAAAGATCATTAAAATCCAGGGTGATAAATGCTACAGTGGAAGTAGAAGTGGGAGGAGCAACAAGAGAAGCTCAGTAGGGAGGATGGACTGTCTAATCCAGAGCAGATTCCTTACACCAGAGCACAAGTTTTTGCCAGTGGCCTTTCTGAGGTGCTCAAGGGCTCATCGCACACCCTGAGCAGACCCTTTAGTCAGTGTTGCCCACAAGTAAGAGGACTTCAGGCAACTGGGTCTGCCTGCCTTCCAGTGCCCTTACTGGAGTAGACCACCCAACTTGCTCCACAGAAACATGGACCCCACATCATCAGAGCCTGCGGAGCATGTTGTTTTAGTCCCTACATAATTACTTTAAAGACAAATGGATTGTGAAGTGAATTTTTGCACTACATGCTTTAAATAGTGCTTCTCAAATTATCTGGGTGAGGGACAAGTGTTACCCACTCCCACCCATTACAAAGTACAGCTAAATCCTGGAAAAATGATCATGGGCTGGGGTGCCACAACGATGTCACATTTCCATAAAAGTGTCTAAAATTGCTTTCTTTAAAAAGGATTTATTTATTTGACACACACAGTGAGAGCAGGCATGTGCACAAGCAGGGGGAGCAGGAGAAGAAGAAGCAGGCTCCCTGCTGAGCAGGGAGCCTGATGTGGGGCTCAATCCCAGGACCCTGGGATCATGACCTGAGGCGAAGGCAGATGCTTAACTGACTGAGCCAAACAGGTGCCCCTAAAAATGCTTGTTTTTCATTTCCATACTCACCTGCCATAGTTTGCTGATGACACCAGTCAGCAGACCACACTTGGAGTAGCCCTTCTTCTCAGCAGGTACCTTCAGAGAAACTGTGGGCATTCTGTGTGTGCAGTCATAGTACTGGAACTTGGGTGGTGGGTGCAGTGGTCCATGCATGGAGGTCCCAGAGGCAAACCTCCTGGGTTCAAAGCCTGGCTCCCTTACTTAATGGCTGTGTGACTTACCCAAGTCACTTCACATTCTAATCCTCCACTTCTGTAGCTGTAAAATAGGGGAAAAGCGTTTACTGAATAGGGTCATTGTTAATAGTAAAGACTAACACCTATCAAGGGCAAGCACAGTGTGTACTCTGGGTGGAGGTGGGAGGGAGGAGGAGGAATAGTTACTGTGATTTTGATCACTTTAACCTAATGAACACTGTGATAAAGGTAAGTGATCTTATTTCCTTGTTTGTTATCTTTTGGTGTGCCCTAGTGGCTCAGTGGGTTAAGCATCTGCCTTCAGCTCAGGTCATGATCCCAGAGTCCTGGGATCAAGTCCCACATTGGGCTCCCTGCTCAGCAGGGATCCCTGCTTTTCCCTCTCTCTCTGCCCCTCCCCCGCTCTCTCAAATAAATAAAATCTTTTTAAAAAGTTGTTATCCCTCACTGGCACAGGTCCAGAATATCACAGCATGTGTTTTAGTAATGCCTCAGCCTGGCTTCGGCTCTGCCCTTACCCCCGGCATTTCTCCTTAGCATGTCCTCCACTCATTGTCCCAGCTCCCAGTTCTGGCTGATTGACACCGACAGGGTTTCCCTAACATACTCCTTCGACCTTCAGGCCAGACAAGAAGATAACACTGCTTTGCTCAGATTGATTTATGGCCTACCCTGGCCTGGAACTCAGTCTGTATCTTTCTGCTCTTTCTCAACTCCCTCCTGTCAGGTTGCTGTGTATTCATTTATAATCATTTATATTTATAAGAATTCATTTATAAGAAATCATTTGAGGGAATTCTTGGAGCCTTACCTAGAAGGTAGATTCTGGAAGAGATTTTCATTTGCTTTTGCCAGGCTCATCTGGGTGCTACCAGTCTGAAAAAAACTTTATCAAGTAAGACCATGAGGTGTTTTTGATTTTCTGGGTACCCGCTCACCACCATCCCACCCCCACCCAACCTCCCGCCAGCACTTAGGTATTTTGTGAGTTTGAGCTGCAAATCTTTCCAAGGGCCACTGTGTAGTTAAAATGTCCCAGGGTGGGGAAAACAACAAAAAAAAACTTCTCAGGGTATTAACCCATCTTTCTCTTGCAAAAGCAACTTTTCTTGCAGTCCTCAGGAAGAGGGGCTTGGGGTTAGGAAAGTTGATGAGTATAACAGAGGGAAAACTGATTTACCTGTGAATTACTCTTGCCTGGATGTTATCTGGGGACAGGGCACCTTGGCTTGGTGGACTGTCCCTTGCGCCCCCTTGTGGCCATGCACGCACAATGTGATTTTGGTGCTCTCCTTGTTTCTCTCATTGAAACTTTTACATAGGTCCTGACTTGCTGGTTCCTCCTTTTGTCAGCTGTTCAGTTAGAGACTTTTATTTTGATACAATAAACTCTGTGCTAAGGGCTTAAAATGAATTATTTCATTTATATTTTATACATTTTTATATATTATCAGAAGTCTCCATATGATTTTTAAAGCGCCATTTGGAAAATCTGATGAATCCAGAGCAGTGATTTAAAGTTCCACAATCTTCCTATTTAGGGTAATTCACATAATCCATTTTTTTGGTTTTGTTTTGGTTTTGTTTTTTCAAGTAGTCTCCATGCCCAGCATGGACCCCAACCCAGGGCTTGAACTCACGACCCTGAGATCAAGACCTGAGCAGGTATCAAGAGTTGGATGCTTAACCGATTGAGCCACCCCAGTGCCCCTGAACAGTTTGAAGAAGCTAAGGAATTATAGTGTATTAGAAAATATAGTTCTCTTTTGAAATCAGCTCCTACTGTCCACACATTCAAGTGTAAGGGAATAAGTAGTTCCAAGAACTTACAGTATAAAATCAGGACATCCTAATCTGATACTATAGAAAGAATGAGGACGATAAAGTGATAGAATGTGCTAGTAATAGTACCATTCCTAATGCAGCGGCAACGGTACTTATTTCCCTTGAGTACTTACTACATTTCCAACTCTACTCTATTTTCCATAACTTTTGGACTTATTTTTAGGTATGACAAATTCTTATGCAGGAGGTAATTATAGACCTTCATTTATTCAGGATAATGAGCTCAGACACTTAATCCTTAAGGTAAGTCCAGAGTTCTGTTTGTTTAAGCTGTGTTTGTCCTTTCAGTTTTACCTGGATGGGAGGCAGATTTTTTTGGGATCGCTTCTGCTGCCACAGCCAGGGCTCCCAAATACACCATAGCTCCCTTCCTACAAAAATAAGTTGCATAGGTAACCATGTCTTAATTTGGGCTGATGAAAGTAGAGACAGAGGATATGCAATTTCCATAATATGGAGCCAAGCTTGTCTTTGATCCTAAACTTACACTGTACTCACCTCCTGTGCCATGGGGTCTCTTCCCCTCCATCACTACCTCCTAAAAAGCCATCTACCTTGTATCCTTTTCTCTTCCGGATCCTGTTCTCAGCACATTAGCCCTTACTGCTTAATGAGCTATTAGTCGATGCTTTGACATTTCTGTTCTCACCATTCATATGCATGGGTTTTCAGATTCTCTCCTCTAGAGGTTATTTGACATGGAAAATATGACCATCTCATAGGCTTCTCCTGCCCCCAGGAGGGGATAAATGTCTTAATCTTGCGCTATGACTCCTGGGCTTTAAACCATAGCATGATGAAACAGAAAGATTCTTCATATATATACTTGTCTATTTTTTTCTCAATTTTTTAAAAAAGCTCTTTTATCTGAGTAGCTGAATTTAAATACAAGATTCCTGACAGGAATGTAAGGGATTATTATTATTTTTTTTTAAGATCAAGATATCTAAAGTGAGCAACATATACAGTATGCTTTGGAAGCTTTCTCACAATCTTTAAGTGTTTTTTTTTTTTCTTTTAGTCCTAATATAACACTTGTTCTGCCCTTCTAGAGTATGTCCGCCAAACTCACCTCATGTTTGTTTCCAGTGAGTAGAAATGATTCAAGCAATGTCCGATGGGAGTGCTAGACTCATCCTGTGTCCATACAGGTCCATTTCCATATAGGTTGCTTCACAAAGGATGTACTGGGCAGACTTCATCTAACCGAGGTTGGAGTTTTTTAAGTTTAGTTTCCAGTGAGTGGTTAGTAATTACTCACAAGGTATATCATAGGACATCTGCTCTTTTTCTTATCCCCACTCTACACATTCCCTGCATCTCAGCATATCCTCGGGCAGTTGTTACTAAAAGTGTTTTGATATCTTTATAGTTTCATATGCAGTATAGAATCGGGGGTAGGTCATTTCTATATTAGAAAATATCAAAACCAAATATTCCATGGCCAAATTTTCCATGTCAAAAATTAGTTTAGACTGGGGTTCAATTCGATGTTCTTCATCAATCTTTTTATAGCTTAAGAAAATGTCCTCTAATTTTACTAGCTCTATGACCACTCTTTGTTTTATCACTACAGGAATTTTCACAGTACTTGAATGTGTGTAAGACAGATTTTTTTAAAATATTCATGTTTATATTTTTAAATTCTAGACTGCCGAAGGCTTCCTATTTGTGGTTGGATGTGAAAGAGGAAAAATTCTCTTCGTTTCTAAATCAGTCTCCAAAATACTTAATTATGATCAGGTATCCAAAACTGAGGATATTTTCCACATGATGCTTAATTTCTCTGAACACACACATATTTCTGAGTTCTCTTCTTAAACCCTGGGCTGTGGGCTTAGGTTCCACTAGGTTAGAACTCCTAGAGAGATGGAAATGTATGCAAAGATTATGGGTTCTTATTTCTGATAAGAGTGTTCACTTCCTTACCTCTAGCAAGTTATTTAATTTTCCTGAGCTGCAGCCTTCTCTTATGTGACAAGGGGAAATGATGATTAAACCTGTCTCTTAGGTTGTAAAGGCACATTTGAGACTGTCTGAACAATGTTTGGTGTCCTTCTGTTTCCTCTAAAAGACAGCATTATTATTTATTATTAGGTTACATGCATAACAGTTTTTGATATAAGCTCTGGCAACAAACTCTAAAAGTCATCTTTCATTTAACCACCTGTCTCTTCTCTTTACCTCCTCATTCCCAAGTACCATTTAATTTGAGCTAGTTATTCAAAAGCTCTAGCACTAACACTAATCCAACAGAGTAAATAAACTAGCTCCTGTGGTCACCTTTAAAATAGGAATCAGACCACAGCTTTACTCTTCAATAATTCCCAATGATTTCACCTATATTCTCCCCAGGTGCCTCGTTAGCACAGTAGGTAGCATGTCAGTCTCATAACCTATATTCTCCCCAAACATGAAAATTTAGAGAGATAAGATTCGTGGATAATGAGTTAAGTAACAGAAGAAGAGGTATTATGAGCCTACATACAGAGGGAGTAAGAACCAAATGATTCATTGCAGCTGGTTTTATCGGCATTGGGGACACAAGGGGAGGTCAAGACTTGATTATTCTATTTCCTAACACAAGATAGAGAACATCTCTCTCTCTCACACACACACACACAACTTACAATTCAGGATAGACATGTAAGTTCCAAATTAGTGACATGGAATCTCATCCCACTGGGCACTGACCTAGTATTTCAGACGATTTAAGAGACATACTGACTTCTCAGGAGGACTTTGGAATCCCCATGATGTAGGCAGGATCTGGTCCTTAGCCTTTCAGATTCAGGAACCTGATTTGCTTTGAAGCATAGAGTTATGGGTAGAAACTTCTATTAACCAATCATACAGCAGATTGATTAATAAAATGCTATTTTTTAAAATATGAGATATCTAACTCAATCTAGGCTACTTGTCCATTTGTCCAGCTAGCTGGTCCATGTGTTCTGTCTTCTATAAGAATGTCTACTTTAGGTAATAAAAGATTTCATAAGGCAAGGGTGATCACTGAAATCAGGGAAGGCTTGATATACAAAGTAGAATGTCTGCTTAGGTATTAAGATGAGCAGAGAAGGGGAGGAAGACATTTCAGTTGAGGAAGTCAGGGACCAAAGTCAGTTGGCTGGAGTGGTGAGGGAACTATGAGTTTGTAGAGAGGGGTGATGAATTCTAGGTGATGAGACCATGCAAGCAAAGGCATAGACATGGGAATGCTGTACATATTGGGGGAAGTGAAATGGGAAATGAGAGGTATTGTAGGTTAGATTTTTTTTTTTATAGTACAGTGATTTTTTAAAAATCTGAATCACACTGTAAAATCACAGATACGTTGTGTCTTACATATTACAATATAATCTCTTTACTTTTACCAAGGATAAAAAAAATTTAAATAATCATATAATTTAGAAGTAACAAGTGAACTGGGGGATGTTAACAAGAATTCACCGAATATCAGTGATTAGGTGTTTGTGATTTGTGTCTTTCCAGATACAGTTTTATATATTTCTATCTACAAGTATTACCCTGCTTTTAACACTAAGTTAATGTCACAGTGTAGTAGATGGATCTTTGAGCTTGAAAAAAAGCAGTTTTGACAGTATTTACCATAAGTTCATGTGAAAAAATGTAGAAAAATTATGGTACTGATTTTAAATGAACATCTACCTTATAAATAGGCTAGCTTGACTGGACAAAGCTTATTTGACTTCTTACATCCAAAAGATGTTGCCAAAGTAAAGGAGCAACTTTCTTCTTCTGACCTTTCACCAAGAGAGAAGCTGATCGATGCCAAAAGTAAGTGCTCATGTCAGCATGTCCATAATTTTATGTAAATAAATTATTACTTAAAAGCACAGCTATGCAATATTTTGAAAAATTAGCTAATTATGGTTTTATCAAGAGGAGATTTAATAAACCTTACAGTCATTAACCTAGAGTTCAAAAAACAATAGAGAATTCCTATATTCGTATACACATACAAAAACAAATATGTTCATATGAAGATGCTTTGTTTGGGGGATATGTGATTGCTTTATAATCACTGTTTCATATGCTAATAAAATCTTTATAAGAAAGTATCATTGGGGTTTAAAAAATTGCTGGGGTTTCCATTATTCAGTCATATGCTGAGACTGTTCTCTTTCTTATAGGAGTTAGATCTACTCAATATGAAATACCTTGTATAATTGTGCATTGGAAGTGTAAATATTCTTTATCTTCTCTGAAAATACCACTTTGGAAATGCTTACTGCCAAACATTTATTTATAATATAAAGTAATGATGCTTAAAGCCATTGATTACTACTGTAAGTTGAGGGGTTTTTTCATTTAAAAAAAAATTTCATTTCATTTTGATTACCTTTGTCCTCCCCTCCTGCCGGGAAAAATGAAGATGAACTGCAAGTGTTTATAAGTTATAAAAATATAATTCCTTAGCATATGCTCTTTTTGGTATATTTCACTTAGTGGTTTACCATATAATGATATCATTGCTTTAAATAACCATTTTTCAATGTATTAAAAAAAAGGTAATAGTTTTGAAATGTATCTCCTAACATTTCTTATCTATATGAACATATTCTTTTCCACCTGTTCTCTTGCCTCCTGCTACGAAAGCTGGCTTGCAAGTTCACAGTAATTTCCACAGTGGAAGGATGCATGTGTATTCTGGCTCGAGGCGATCCTTTTTCTGTCGGATAAAGAGCTGTAAAATCTCTGTCAAAGAAGAGCATGAATGCTTATCCACCTCAAAGAAGAAAGGTATCATCATTTCAAAATATCAAGTGATTTAAGGCATGGGTATAAAATTAATGTCCTAAAAACTTTCTATACAGTAATAGTAAAGTGTGTGGTCAAGACAAATACTTGAGACCAAAAGCACCCAAGGAGATAAGATTGTTTTTTAACCAGAATTATTTGGATTGACTCATCACATCTTTCACATTTATCAGGTAACTGCCGGCCCTTTATTGTCCATGATTTTAATGGTGCTGTTGAAACTGCAGCTTGGGGGCTTTCCAATGAGTGGGGGGGAATGAAATCCCATTGTTTTTAAAATATGAAAGTTAGGGCTTTTTAAAAAACTGCAATAGTACAAGAGCCTGATTTGATTAATTTTGGTAAAAGTTTCTTAAGACATTCCAGTTTCTTAAGACATTCAATGCTTTTAGTTCTTTTTTTTTTTTCCTAAAGATTTTATTTATATATTTGACAGACAAAGATCACAAGTAGGCAGAGAGGCAGTCAGAGAGAGAGAAAGGAGGAAGCAGGCTCCCCGCAGAGCAGAGAGCCCGATGCGGGCTCGATCCCAGCGGGGCTCGATCCCAGCGGGGCTCGATCCCAGGACTTTGGGATCATGACCTGAGCCGAAGGCAGAGGCTTTAACACACTGAGCCACCCAGACGCCCCACTTTTAGTTCTTTGGTAAATAGTCATAGTTCTGTTTTCCTGTGAATCTTTTATAGGTTTGTCTTATTTATGTTTTTAATTGATTTAACACTCATCTATTTTACTTTACTGGGAAATTCTGGGGACTGAAAAATGCCTCCCACTGTTTTTTGCCTAAGAATATATTAACCTATTAGAGATAGGATTTCCTATGCAAATTTTATTGTGGGATTTTCTTTCCCATCCTTTAAAAGTCTATTTATGTCTTCTCTCTCTTCAACAAAGAGATGGAAAATATAAAAGACAAACAGTTGAGAAATACAATAATTGAGCTGCAAGATTCAGTTTATTTACAAGTTTTGGACAAATCTTTTTTGGCAGCCACCTAAGACGATAATCACTCAATACTCACTTACCAAGCATATACCTGTGCTGGATCAGAGACTGTACTGTTTTAATCCCCATGAAAACACTATCCTTTCTACTGATTAAGAATCAGGGAAGAGGGACTTGAAGAGTTTCAGTAACTTTCAGAAAAGGAGATCAGCAAAACTCCCACTCAAATAACGCCCCTACTCTCATGTTACATCATAAAGAAACATAGCAGAATGACTCAGCAGTGGTAAGAGAGGATGTGTTTGTAAACCATCCATTGCCGCCCTCGTGCCCTTGACTCTGAGTGGGCAAGGGTTGTCTAAAGTCACCTCTAAGGCCTCCGGGGGCTGAAGTCACAGTTGACTTGGTGTTGAAGAGGCTGTGAATCCAGCTGCCTGGGATCAAATTTTGGTTCTATCCCTTGCTAGCTCTGTGGCTGTGAACAAATTTCTTAATCCCACTGAATCTGTGAAACAAGATTATCCACAGCCTGGTATGACTTTGTGGACTAGGTAAAGGCATCGATTCCGAGGCCCAACTGTTCAGGTTTGAATCCGAACTGGTGAGTAACTGTGACTCAAGATAAATTGCTAAAGCCTTCTGGGTCTCACTCTTTTCAACAACAGAAAGAAAATAACAGAACCTCCCTCCTAGGGTGTTTGTTAGGATTAAAGGAGCTAATACAAGTGATGTGCTTGCCCTGGTTCTTAGTATTGTTAACACTAGATAAATGTGGGGAGCTGTTATATTATTAGAAATAATGCACCTAAATTCTTAGGACAGTGCAAGCAGATGGTGGTATCATTACCTCAGGGTGCCTGTTTCCTCTGTCCTCCTTGCCAAGTCAGTTAGGTTAATTTCATTAATCTTATATTTGACATGACCATATAATGTGAAACTAATCTCCAAAAGCAAGAATATGCTTTCTGTGTGGATGGTCCAAGGAGTCATACTCCATGTATACCCTGGAGTGTAGTACATTTTACCCTTAGGATTTAACTAGAAGTGAACCAATACCATACTGAGTAGCTCCGACCATAAGTGAGTCACCTAACGTAGACAACAATCCATGTGAGAGAAAAACATGGCAGCCAGTGCAACTACCTTAATGTAGTTGAAAACCTCTGTGGTGTTTTACACAAGTTATAAGTTGAATAAAGTCTTAAATTATTAGGTTTTTGAGTGTTTTAAAGATTACCAGATTAAGGAGTAGTTGTTCTGGTCTAAGATGATGACATAAGAAGACCCTGAACTTACCTCCTTCACAGATACCAAATCTACACCTTTTTATAGAGCAATTTCTCCAGAAAAACATCTGAGGGCTGACTGAATAGCTTCTGCACAATAAAAGACCACATATAGAATGGCACAGTAACAAAGGGAAACCATTACACTGAGAACTGTAGGGGGGAGGGATAGTACTGAGGGACTGTGAGAAGATCTGTCTGCACTAGGGCACACAAAAAGCCACAGTCTAAAATATACAGGAACCAGCCCTACAACCCTGCCAAATGGCAGGGAGCTACTGGAACTCTCTCCAGGTCAGAGGAGCTGGTGAGCACCACAGTTTACATTCCCCCCTCCACCTTGATAATATGGATGAGAGCAGGGTCTGGGTGCCCAAGCTAACCTTCTCTGTCAGTGAGCCCCAGGCGCCAAGTCCACAGCAACCTTAAGGCAACTCCACAACAGTGCACAACAGGATATCCCTGATCCAACTGCCTTGCCAAGGTGACACAAGTGCAAAGCAGCCTGGAATACTCCAGGCCCACATCACTTCAGCTCCAGATGGCTTGCTAGAGCATCCCCAGTGTAGACTGCTCTGGAACACACACCCCCCACCCCACCAGCTTATGCTTGTTTCACCCACCAGAGTGCCCCTTGTACAGAGTAACCGGAGAAGACCCAGCCCATAACCATCTCAGCTCCATTTGCCCTGCCAGAGCAACCTCTAGGCTGAATACCCCCACACCCTGGCTTGCATCCACTTTAGCTAACCTGCCAAAGCACCATCAGTGCAGAGCACCCACAGACCACCCCAGCCCAAGCCAGTACTTCAGACTCAGCGATTTCACCAGGATGCCTTCTGTGCACAGAGCCTCAGGACCTACTAGCTTGTACCCACTTCTATTTCAGCTGAGTTACTAAGGTACCTTCTTTGTGGAGAACCCAGGGACCTCCCTTCAGCTGTCCTGCCAGGGTGCTCTCTGTGCAGATAGTCCTAAGACCTCCTCAACTTGTGCCCACTTCAGCTCCAGCCATCCTTCCAGCACATTCCCAACACAGAGTGCCCTAGGACACTCACTGACACCAGCTACAGTTTCAACCTGTCAGCCAAAATCACCAGATACAGAGTCTACACAGGAAAAGACCACACACAAGATGATTCTTTCAAGTTTGAAAGGAATAGCTCTTTAGCCTAATTCATAGACAAGCAAAATGGGGAGACATAGGAGTATGCTCCAAATGAAAGAACAAGATAAAATCTAAGAAAAAAAAAAAAACTAAATGAAGCAGAAATAAGCAATATGTCTGATAAAGAGTTTAGAGTAATGATCATAAAGATGTTCGCCAGACTGGAGAGAAGGGTGGAAGAACTCAGAACTTCAACAAAAGGATAGAAAATATAAAAGACAACTAAACAGAATTGAGGAATACAATAATTGAAATGAAAAATATACTAGGGGGAATCAACAGATTAATGGATATAGAAGAATCAAATCAACAATCTAGACGATAGGGTAATGGAAAGTACCCAAGCTGAAGAGCAAAATGAAAAAGGAATTTTAAAAAGTGAGGGTAGGTAAAAAATTTCTTCAACATCAGGCAAACAAGCATTCACATTATAGGAGTCCCAGAAGGGGAGAGAGAGGAAGGAGCAGCACACTTATTTGAAGAAATAAGAGCTAAACAATTCTCTATCCCAGGGAAGGAAACAGATCTCTGACTCAGGAGGCACAGAGAGCCCCAAAGAAGATGAACCCAAGAAGATCTTCATCAAGACACATCACAATTAAGATGTCAAAGATTAAAGAAAGATAAAGAGAATTTTAAAAGCAGCAAGAGAGAAGCAATAAGTACCATACAAGGGAAATCTCATAACACTATCAGCTGATTTTTTAGCAGGAACATTGCAGACTGGAAAGGGGTTCCATGATTGATTCAAAGTGCTGAAAGAAAAAAACCTACAACCAAGAATACTCTACCTGGCAAGATGATCATTAAGAATTAAAAGACAGATGAAGAGTTCCCAGACAAACAAAAGTTAGAGGAGCTCATCACCACTAAGCTGGCATTACAAGAAAAGTTAAAGGGACTTCCTGAAGTGGAAATGAAAAGGCCATACTCAGAAGTAAGAAAATCATGAATAACAGGATGTAAAATATGACAACATATAAATTAAACTTGGGGAAGGTGAGCAAAAAAATCTTTCAGAATATGTTCAAACTTAAGTGACCATCAACTTAATATAGACTGCTATATACTTAGGATGTTATATATGAACCTCATAGTGACCACAAACCAAACACGTATAATAGTACACAAAAAATAAACAGAAAGAAAGCCAAGCATAACACTAAAGAAAGTCCACAATCAGAAGAGAGCAAGAAGAAAGGAACAGAGAAAATCTACAACGACAACCAGAAAACAAAATGGCAATTACTTTAAAAGCAAATGGTCTAAATGTTCCAACTGAGGACACAGGGTGATTCAATGGATTAAAAAAAACCAACACCCATCTTATATACTGTCTACAAAAGGCTCACTTCAGAACCAAAGACACATACAGACTGAAAGTGAAAGGATGAAAAAAGATATTCTATGCAAATAGAAGCAGGAAAAAAGCTGGGATAGCAATACTCATATCAAACAAAGTAGACTTTAACATAGAGAACATAACAAGTGACAAAGGGGCAATGAATAATGATAAAAGGATTAATCCAACAAGAGGATAGAACAATTGTAAATATTCATGCATCCAACATAGGAGCACCTGC